CTGCGCCATCGACCAAACAGTTTATAATTAATACACCATCCATGTGTTTACTTGGGACTAAAAGGCTGCGGGACCCAGTGGAACAGAAAGTCCTGTCCACAGGTACCCAATTCTGGAGCCAGGAGGAGAGGGAATGAACGGAAACAGGGCTGTGATATGGTTAAGGAGGGAAGAAATGATGTTAGAAGGGCAAACTGACCAGTGAGAACCAGATGTAGTGCACTCAGACTACCCATGCTGTGGAAACCTCTGCATGGTTACAAACAAGGCATCTGTGTGTGGTGACATGGAGAAAATCACTAGCTGCAATGATTTTTTAAAATTCATGGTAGGCAGCATATGTTATTATGTGGCAGAAGCTGACAAATGGATTGCACTTTGCATACATGGGACGTTGCTGGATGATGCTGAGAAGTGAGGATGAAGTAGAATACAAATGGGAGAGCGGGGACAGAGGCGTAGGAAGGCAGGTCAGTGATCCGAGATACCCAGGTCTGAATTCCTAGCAACTGTAAATGTGGTTTTGTAAATGAGATTAAGAAAAGATCTTGAGCCTGGTGTTGGTGGTGGCACACGCCTTTAATCCCAGGCTCCGGAGGCAGAGGCAGGTGGATCTCTGTGAGTTCAAGGCCAGCCTAGTCTACAGAGAAAGTTCCAGGACAAGCTCCAAAGCTACACAAAGAAACCGTGTCTGGAAAACAATAAAACAAAAAACCCTTGATTTGGGGGAAATGATCGTAAATAATTTGTGGGAGTCATATGAGCTCATCCTAGAGCCAATCCCCGGAAGATACCAAGAGGGGATCACATTATCTACAAAGCCCTGTACGTGGGACTTGAACAAACAAGGGACTAAAAAAGTGTCCTCACCCGGAGGACATGAACAGCCTTGTAGGAGAGACTGGACCTCACTCAAGGCCAGCATCCCTGGAACAGGGGCGCAAGCTACTACAGAAGGCTGGATGGGTGGGATATTAACATGACATCTCCATACTTGGACCTTACATCCACATCTGTATCATATAAGGTCCGTGTGCTTATCATGCCTTGACAGCAAGGAGTTCAGAGGCCAGGCTTTGCACGGACACAGAAAGGCAGCTGTGTGCGCCGCTCTGAGGCTGGGATCTCGTGCAGGGTCTGTCCAGGCCCCCATGACAGGAATCCAGGACACCATCAAGTTGGGGCTTCTGTTTACTGAGGCAACTTGAATGTTGTGTACTGGCACTACAGGTCTGAGTAAACATGAGTGAGCATGGTCTGGGGGATCCTTAGGGATACAACCACAAGCATAAGTCAATGACTGAGTCAGTCCCCAGCCACCTCCACCAGCGGAGACAGGAGCAATCATTTGACATATTCACTGATATAATCAAAGTCACCTTGAACAATAACAGCCGGCAGCCTCCCACTTGCCGAGGTGAGTGACTCCTGGTAACAAGGCGAGCAATGTCCTACAGCTTCCAGGACCCTGGCGGAGCCGTTTCAAGCCGTGGAAGGCAACGGCCTGCCGATTAGTTATTTCCATTACATTTTCCACTTTCCCTCAGTCAGCATTTGCTGAAGGATGTTCAGCAGGATGCAGACAGCCAGCAGCTGCGTAGGGGAGGGAAGGGGGCATTTTAAATGCAAGCAAGGCACTGGGGGAGGGCGGGCTGGGCAGCTTTGTGGCCTCCTCGGACTGGTGAGCTCCCCTGTGCCTGGTTTCTTCTGAGATGTATTTCCAGAAACCTCGCTAGAGTAGGGTCGCAGTTGCTTGTTTTGTTTTTCAGCTTTGCAGGAGCATATTTTGCATATAATACGGTGCACTCATTTCCAGTGTAGAACTCAACTGCCTGATCACTGGCATAAATCAGGGTTCTGGTTTTTTGTTTTTCAAGACAGCCTGTGTAACAGTCCTGGCTGTGCTGGAACTCGCTCTGTAGACCAGGCTGGTCTGGAACTCACAGAGATCCATCTGCCTCTGCCTCCTGAGTGCTGGGATTATAGAAGTGTGCACCACCACCGCCCAGCAGCATAAATCGCCCAATATAGATGCTGGGAAAAGAACCCAGGTCCCGCGCAAGAACAGCACAGCACATGCTCTAACCACTGGGCCCTCCCCAGCCCCGATCTAGCTGGCGTGCAATGGTCATCTCTAACTAGCTGACCACATTTTTGTGTGTTTATTGGTCATTTGTCGTCTCTGTACACTATCCAAATCTTTTAACTCTTTTCTAATCAGATAGCCGCCCTGATGTTGAGTCACGGGTGTTCTTTCTATATGATTTGGCAACGTTTTCAACCCGTTCTATGGATTGTGTTTTCACTTTTTTGTTTGTTTGTTTGTTTGTTTGTTTTTGGAGACAGGGTCTCTCTACATAGCCCTAGCTGTTCTGGAACTCACTATGTAGACCAGGCTGGCCTCGAACTCACAGAGATTTGCCTGACTCTGCCTCCAGAGTGTGGGGATTAAAAGCACGTGTGTCCCTACACCCAACTTGTCTCTTCACTTTCTTGATAGAGTTCTTTGATGTAGAAAATATTTTAGTATTTGAAGTCCAATGTATTAGTTCTTTGGGGGTTTTTTGTTTTGTTTTGTTGTTGTTTTGGTTATTTTTGTTTTGTTTTTTGTTTTTGTTTGTCACTATTGCCTTAGCAGGGAAAAGCACTGCTTTTTTTTTTTTTTTTTGCTTTAATTAAAAAAAAAAAAAAAAACCCATTGAAGTCCAGCGTGGTGGTCCACACTTTACTCCCAGCACTAAGGAGGCAGAAGCAAGCAGATCTCTCTGAGTTTGAGGCCAGCCTGCTCTATGTAGTGAGTCCCAGGACAGCCAGGGCGATGTAGGGAGACTGTCTCACAAACAAAAAATAAATAAATAATATAAAGAAAAGTAGTCAACTTATGAAAATAAAGAAAACAAAACTGCCTGATGCCACAATGAAAAACTGTAATCGCCTCTCTATAATTAGTTTCTCCAAATGCTCAGCTGTTTCCACCACACTTCCTGTATGGGTTAAATGTCAGTCGTTGCCACTGCTGAGTGTTTGTGAGACAAAGCTAACACATCTGAGATTCAAGCACTTGCTGGTTCCAGAGCTCAGTGTCCTGAGTGAGCTGAGAGGCGTGTTTATTAGAAAAGCCTTTTCGGTTCCAAGTGACAGAAAAGCAATTCAAAGCAGCCTAGACAGCAAAGGGAAATAACTGGCTCGCACGGCCAAAATGCTGAGAAGAAGAAAGGACTTAACCAGAGCCAGATGCTGTGTCTCGATTGAGTCTTTTCCTCCATGTTTTCTCTCTCCGCTGGGACCTGAATGTTCATCCCACACCCCCGCTTTAGGTGCTGAATCCCAGCCCTCACCATGGTGGGAGGTGGTGTCTTTAAGCTGTGTTTAGCCAGAGTCCTGATGATAGTAATCTGTCTCCTTACAAAAGAGAGCCTCCCTTTCATGTGATGTCATCAGGGAAGAGACCACCCATGAACCAGGAAGCAGTCTCTCATTAGACAGCACCTTGATGTCAGACTCCTCAGTCCTTGGCATTAGAAACAGAGTCCTGTGTAGTGTGTTTATAAACAGCCCAGTTTATAACAGTGTGGACGGCGATAATGCTCCCTGTCTCTCAGTCTCTACGCATCCTGGCTTTGGTTTAGACTTCCCTTTACCTATTGGCTCCATTCCTGAGCACTGTGTGTCACTTCCTTTGTGTGTGGGGGGGTGGGTGGTCATGAGATGTTGTTACTTGTCTCACTATATTGTCCAAGTGCTGGCGAATGCTGTTAAGGTCTTTTTGGACCACATGCCTATCTCTGATTCAGTCCAGGGAAATGGACCACTCTTGACTGATGGGTCATTAACGTGGGTCCACGTAGACACACAGAACACACCCGAAGGTGAGCACGTGACTGAATGTGTGCCTGGTTCCCTTTGGTGAACTGTTAAGTTTGGAAGGATGTTTCTCATTTGATGGGGAATTTTTTAGATATAAATGAAAACAATTTTACTCTTATACGGATTTTTTTGGACCCGTGGAATTTAACAGGGTCTTGACATTGGGGATGGTAACTTTATAGATGGGAAGGCTTGTGCGCGCACACAGTGAGACAAGAACAGCACGCAAAAGCAATAAGAGTGCTCACAGCTAACCTTTCAGAGAGCAACAAGATGCAAAAATGGTAATGGACGTGGCTTTAAGAAGGGAACCTCAGGCTGGTGCGATGTCACACGCCTTTAAACCATCACTTGGGGTGGCAGAGGCAGGCAGATTTCTGTAGGTTTGAGGCCAGCTTGGGCTGTACAATGAGACTCAGAGAGAGAGAGAGAGAGAGAGAGAGAGAGAGAGAGAGAGAGAAAGGGGGACCTGATCCAGGGTGCAATGCCTGTGGGATCCACCATGAGGCAGATGGCCACACAATCAGAGAGTGCTGGCTTTTCTCTGAATCTCCGCAAAGGCAGCCACCAGTGCAGTCTTCAGACAGGACAAGGACAGAGAGGCGCTGGGTTCCAAAACTCTGACCTCAAAAATTCTAATCGTCTCACTGTACGAAGATAAACTGTACGAAGTCCAGAAAGGTCTGCCTGTTGCGGAGAAGTGTGTGTGTTTGGGAGTAACTGCCAGGTCTCTGTATTTGGGATGGTGGAGTGATGAGAAATGGGATGCAAGCAACAAAGAGCTAGGGACAGGTGTGGTCTGAGTAATGACAGGAAGAAACCAGGGGGCCTTGAGCACTGGAATGGCAGCCGGAGATTTTGTGGTGGTCTTTGGGAGGGCGAGAGACCGGAGGCTCAGCGGCTTTCTGGAGGGGAGAGGTGCTGGGTTCTGGTCACCACAGAGGTGCAGGATGGGGAAGGTCTGATTCTGAGGTTCCCCGCGTCCTTGGAACCCGGCAGGTGAGAGGGCTGTATTAAACAATGATAAAAGCCACGGCTGTACTTCCTAACAGTATGGGGTCGGAGGAACAGTTAGTGCCACTATTCCTGTGCGTGAAGACCCGGAACATACTTTTCTGTTGCTTTCTCTGCAGGGAACTTCCAACTGATCGCAGATCCCGTTCCCTTCGAAACTGTGGCTGACTTGGTCCGTTCTGTCCACATTCCCCAGAGTCCCATGACCCACAGAAGCCCTCCCCGCTTCCAGAACTTAGTCCCCATCTCCATGGATGATTGGCCCACAGAGCTTAGGAGAGGAGAAACGCTGTCTCTAGTTGGCTTTGAAGAGAGTCAGGGGAGGCGGCTGCTGCGGTGTGAGGCGCTGAAGGAGCCTCCCCTCAGGCTGCTCCTGCCCATGGACTGCAGGGGCCACTTCCAGGAGTGCCAGGACAACCAGCTCTACTCCATTGACACCATCGTGAGATGGAAGCTGCTCGCAGGGAGGAAACGCAGGGTTCGCATGGAGGCAGGACATGGCCTGAGGCTTCTCAACCCCCTGGTTCCAGAACGCTTTAGTGGCCATCTAGTGCTGCATCCCTATTTCTCAGTGGTGGCGCATCTGCCAGGTGAGTGAGGCAAAAATAGTCTGTTTTCTGTCGCTAGAACAAGAAAACCAGAAGCCGGGACAATTGTAAGGAAATGAGGTTTCGTAACTCGTTCATAGCTTTGGAGACTGAAAGTCCAAATGGCATGGCGCCAACTCCAGCGGGGACTTGGTGGCAGGTGGCATCGTGGCAGCATCTTTGCAGAGAGAAAGATCACATGGAAAGACAAAAAAGCACAGCAAGGCAGTACTCGGGCTCTGTAACCCTCCCTTGAGTACTAGCCTGGCGCCACTAGAACTGTCTTGACTACACCAAGTCTAATATCACCTCTCCAGGCACCAGGTTTCCAGAATATAATCAAACACCCATGCCACAGGCAATAATGCTGCCCCCTACAGGTGTGGAAGGGGGTTTGGCTCTAGGCTGTGCAGGCAACTTGCCAAGGCCCAAAGATTTGTAGACTGGTGGGTTGAGGAACCCCAGAAGTAGTCCTCAGGAAGTGGTCATGCCTTACCTCACTGGCTTCATGTCTCGATTTATGAAGAGCTATTGGCTGCTGGAGGCACACTCCCCCCGTGGAGTGATTTATCCTATTAGTTACACATTCACTCGGTCTCATCGCCCATTGTTATATTCTTATCATCATATCTACTTAAACACATTCATGCAGTAGACTTAAGATGCTTCCATGTGATTCCCTTAATAAATATCCATACCGTGGTGACAGCCAGATGGGCCGTGAGCAGATAATAAAAAAAAGTCTCCCCTTTGAGCGAATTTATTATGGATGCATTTTCTTCTGTGTTATCATAAAAAGCTAGTCCCTCACCACCCATTAATTTTATGATTTTGTTTATAGTCCATGGGAAGGCTAGACTCCAATGCACTTTTCCATCTTCTCATAGGCCACATCACTTTATTGTTCCTTTACAGAAGAGAGATGCGGTGTTACATTAAGCATGGATTTACAATGGCCTTAAAAGCTCGCTTGCTGGAAGATTCCTTTAAGTAGGCGATGTTTGTAAAAGACGAATTTAGGTCCGTGGCAGGACTCAAGAATTCATGGTCTCCATTGCCCAGTTTCCAATAGAAGCTTTGCCTTGATCTGTCGTGTCGTGCCTTTGTTTAGTGGCTGTGTGGAGATGAGTGCAGCTTGTTCCCCAGCCCTCAATGATGTCTCCATAGCTCCTGTCTTCTATTCTCCGCCTCCTTGGTCTTTGAGTAATGATGAGAACAGCTGTGAGTGTGACCGAAGTGGTTGGTCTCTCCGCCCTAAGGGGACCTGGGGGTGAGGAGCGGGTCTCTCTCACCTGTGTGCGGCCGACTCCAGAGTAGCTCTCCGCTTAATCCACTGAAATCCAAGCTTCCTCCTAGTGCATTCTTGCTGGGCCCTTCCTCCCTCTCTCTCACTGTGGGTTCTGAGGCTCACAGTGTACAGCTTCTACTGAGATGAATGAATAGTGTTTATTGCTAATTCCCAAGGTAGGGCTGAGGCTGTGGGTACAATCCCTAGCACTGAAAGGGTAGGATGGGCTTAGAGAGATGGCTCAGGGGTAAGAGCACCACGCGCAGTTCTCAGCACACACACACACACACACACACACACACACACACACACACACACACACACACACACACGGCAGCTCACAACTGTCCGTAACTCCAGGTCCAAGCGATCTGATGCCCTCTTCTGGCTCCTGTGGGCACTGCACCCAACCCATAGACACTGCATGCAACTTTACAGCCAATGGGAGAGGGTTACAAAGCTTAGACACTTGAGTACATTGATGAATCCCTAAGCTGTGCTTCCTTCCAAACTCACTCCTTTCTTTTCCCTTTCGACATTCCCAGGTGCCATCCAAGTCAGCATCCCCTCCGATCTGGACATCCATATTACTGAGATTGCCTGCCTGGATTGTAAGCCCTGCACACTGATGACAATGAGACAGATATACAGCATGGAAACAAACAGATTCCCGGTGAGAATTAAAATAATGAGTGTGGTCCTGTCGGATAACAAGGCGCTGGCAAAGCCTCTGAGGTGTGGGCAGCGCTTGACCATCCTTAGGACCCAAGACGTGAAAAAGTTCGTTGCCACAGAGATTTCCCAAGGAAAGAAAGGGAGGTGTTTTCTCATCCCATACACCTACCAGGGCCTGGTACTTAGAAGGGGTCGCTATTTTTATGCTGTTTCTGATGTCGCTGCAGCCATGGGACACGGACAGCTCTGTTTCCGGTCCTCCAGGGACTATACCTCTGGCCTGGGGCCTTTCAAGTCTTTCGCAGCCAATGAGAGCTTCCTGGCTCTGAAGAAGAGTGTGGTTTCTGCAGAGATCCACGGTGAGCTACACAGGGTGGAGGTTCTCAAGTGCCTGAACATCGCCACCAAAGCCCAGGTCAAACTGCCCTTGTTCGCAGAAGGAGACTTCCGGGAGCTGTTTGATGTCGCCGGGCCTGGGACCCTGCAGGATCTGTGCCAAGTCACAAAACTGCCATGTCACATCAGAGTGGTCAGCCCAGATCTCTCCATGGCTAGTGACCCTCTCTATGGAACCGAGGAACTGAGAATTGAAAATATCGTTGTTGAACAATGCCTCATAGCCAAAGAGGAAGTTTTCCTGGAGGGCATGGATGCTTCTATAGACATATACAGGGACTGGCCAGAGACCACATTTGAGATCCCAGTTGAGAAATCAAGCTGTGAGGTGTTGTTGGTAGAAGAGCGCTCGTGGATGGCTGATGTCGGGAAAAAGAGATGCCTGTCTCTCCAGAGCATCCAGGAGATCACTGGGGAGGAGTCGGTTGACTTCAGTAATTGTTTAATTACTCCTTGCCCACCGCCACCCCTTCCAAAGCCTAGATGTCTATCTTAAAACTCAAAGTGTGACTCTGTTTACAGGACGCAGCATCCACACACTCGAGAACCGACATTTGGGGTTCACTGAAACCCGAGAGTAGTCCCCCAGATACGGGGGCTCAAAGGAAGTCGGGTGTGCTTCCACCGGGTGTTATTTCCATCTCTTCTGTACATCTGCTGTAGGTTGTGTTAGCATTCCGTGACGAAACACCCAAGATAACCAATCTGTGAGGAAAGACAGTCCATCTGGGCTCACAGTTTCAAGGATTTCAGTCCACGGTCACTCGGGCAGTCTGGCCTGTGGCGTGGCAGCATACCGCAGTGGAATACATAATGGATGGGAGCTGCCCACCTCGAAACAGGTGGGAGGCAGGAAGGCTCCCATGTCCCTTTCTACATGTCCCCCCAGTGACTGTGACCTAACTCCATTCCCCAAGGCTCCTCCTCCTCCTCACAGTTCTGCCCTCTCTCAACAGCACCACAAACAGGAGATGACGCTTCTAACGCAGTAGCCTTTGCAGGACACCGAGTCAAACCATCACAGCTGGCCTTTCCCTTGACGCGCATGGAAAACGGGGCTCTGATACTGCGGTATGGCCACGGAACTCTCTCTCACTTAAAGTGAAACTCTGTTTATTCAGCAGGAGCATGTGTTTGTCGTCAAACATGATTCTTCCTACCGCCCCAGGTTTGGAGTCTCTGCTTCCCCTTGCCTCCACTGTTAGGGCCTGGCGTGGAGTACACACCCCAACAAAACTCAGACAGATAACTGAGTGTTAGCACCTATGTTGGTAATGAGTCTGCCCCCTTGCCCCTCCGCAAGGAAGGTACCATCACCCACCCCCAGTTGCTCGAGGCAGACACCCAGAAAACTTGCCCTTCCCCATCCAACTAATGGATTAGTCGCCATACCTTTCCAATTCCTATCAATCGCTCACCTTTCTCCCTTGCCCAGACCCCTGTCTACACCCACATGCCCCACCTTTCACGGTTACTCTTCTCCCAAGCGCCACCTCCTCTCTCAGTTCTCTGTTCTCAGCAGAGGGGTGCCTCAGGGACAAACTGTGAAGAGATAAAGCCCCCACAGCCCTTGGGGTATCTCTGTGTCTCAACACAAAAGCAGCTATCTAGAACTTTCTAGAACACTCTAGGGATGATCGTGCACGGTCCTCCAGCCGGCATCTACACCTCTCACCTCCATCCCCAGCCTGCTTCTCCGACACTCTAAGTAACTCTAGATGAGACTGACTCTGGATTTCTCTGGTATGGCTTGAACCGGAGATCACACTGTGGTCTTGCCCGCTGTCCTCTACTTCCTTAGGTGTGACTTACGCTCATTTGTCAACTCACTGCAGACAACGATTCCCTCCAAGAGAGTTCTCTGAGCTTCGAGAGCAGCTTAGTGCTGGCTCTGCCCCGTCAGAATCATCACAGCTCATCAGATAAGAGTGCATGGTTCTGCCGCCAGATAACCAGACACTACGCCCTCACAGTGGCAGCCCATCCTCTCTGGAGCTTTGTGTCCACCCTGCGAACCCGATGACACTGAGTCCATTTAGTCATGATTGCAGAATCAAAGGGGGACAATGTAAAAGTGTACACCCCAAGGCCTGGCGGTGGGTGGGTGGGTGACCCGTAGACAGGTGATCGGCAGAGTGTCTCCATCGCTTCTCTGCGGATGAGAAACGCCCTCCATAGGCTCAAGCATTCGAACGCACGGTCTGTAGTTGGTGGCACTGTTTGGAGATGTTTTGGAGTCTTTAGGAAGTGCCAGAGGAAATAAATATGTCACTGTGGGGAGACTTTGAGGGTCCATAGCCTTGCCCCTTCCTTCCCACTTGCATTCTCTGTTTCACGCCTGCCGTGGAAGACACCATCTCTCAGCTTCTCAATCCTGCCTGCCACTCACCGGCATGCTTCCCCTACCAGAACGGACTCTCGTCCCTCTGGAGCCATAAGCCCAAAATAAACTCCTTCCTCCACAAATTGCTTTTGGTCATGGCATTTTATCACAACAGAAAAGTAACTGATACACACACCCTCCGTCCTTGCTGAGTGGTACACAGTCCCTGCCTGCAGGAGGGCGGTCTCCTTCGCCGAATGGGCCAGGGAAGGGAGAAAACAATACATCTAGTGAGCAGAGCCTGCTGTGGGCCACAAGGCCCAAGGCACTGAGGACCTCTGGCTAGGGTACACACACACACACACACAGATACACATGTGCACGCGCGCGTGCGCGCGCGCACACACACACACACACACACACACACATTTGCTATGTGCAAACACTACATCATTTTATGTACCAGACTTGAGCAGCCAGTGATTTGGATATTGTGTTCCTAACCCAGTCCCCCATCATACTTAGGGATGATGATCTGTTCAGGCTAGGTTTTGTCAATTTGACACAGACTAGAGTCACCGGGGAAGGAAGAGCTTCCGTGGAACTGATGTATGATATATGGACATGTCATGTCTGTGGGGCATTTTCTTTCTTAACTGATGGTTTATGTGGGCAGGCCCTACACACCCTAAGCAGGTGGCCCTGGGTCATGTAAGACAGCAAGCTGAGTAAGCCCAGGTTTGTAAGTAGTGCCACTCCATGGCCCCTGCCCCACAGTGAAGAACTATGATGGGGATGTGTGGGCCACATAAGCCATTTCCTCCCCATGTTGCTCTTAGTCATGCTGTTTATGACAACAACAGAAAGCCAACTATGACAATTTACTCTTCACGCATTCTAAACTATAGTTTATATACAAGTTTCGGGCAATATCATTTAAGAAGAACATATCTAAGAGTGAAATTTCTTCAACATTTTTTGTCCTTAAAGTGCATTTTACTGAAGATGTCCTGTCCAAGCATTGTCTTTAAGATCTTCTTTTTATTCCTCAATCTATATTGTTATTGGGCATCGGAGATAATGTTAAAAGCCCTATGAATGATTTGTGTTTGCCATTTTGTTACAGTGAATGTACAAACGTTAGGTAAATAAGACAGGGGAATAAGTAGGGAGGAAATGCACAGAGCTGAGGCATTTCAGCTAGTTCTTGGAAGAGAAGTGGTAACTGAGCCATGCAGGGGGAAGCCACAACCCTGAGTGTGTGTCTGAGAGTGTGTCTGGGGGTAACTGAGCCATGCAGGGGGAAGCCACAACCCTGAGTGTGTGTCTGGGGGTAACTGAGCCATGCAGGGGGAAGCCACAACCCTGAGTGTGTGTCTGAGTGTGTGTCTGGGGGTAACTGAGCCATGCAGGGGGAAGTCGCAACCTAAGTGTGTGTCTGGGATTCACACAGTAGAAAGGCAACTGGCTCTGCTCCTCCTCCCTGGGCAGACTGAGGTCCTGGGCAACAGGCGCAAAGGAAACAGGGTCTGGAAGAGGAGAGAATGCAGGCTGGGGCCAGATGCACATCTCCATATGGACATCTTTCCCTTGCTTGCTGGAGCCCCATGAGTTGCCTGGGTACTCTGGACTGTTCCCTAGAGAATACCCTGTGTGGCGGTCTCGTCCCCTTGCTTCTGGGATCTACCTCAAGCTCCTCCTTCTTGTGCTCTGTGTTCCAGACGATAAACCGCACACTGCTTCCTGTGGGCAGACTCTACCAAGCGAGGGACACAGTGCTCTAGTTCTAGACAGCTGCAGAGGGCTGGAAGCTGTGGGATTTATTTTCTTTTTCTTCATGGCACCTGTCACTCTGCAATGGCTGTATTCTCCACGTGGCGATGGTTTCCATTGCGAAGCCCCTCACCCACTGCTGGGAGCCTTCACCAGGGTCCAGTTACTTCAGAGCACAGCCCCAGTGGGTCCTTGCTGGGGACAGACTCTGAGTGTGGCCTCTCCTAGTCCCCTTATGCAGGCCATCCATCATATTCTGGATGGACAGCTAAGGACTCAACAGAGAAAGCCCACACATGCACACAAAAACAGGGGGCCATGAGAAACAGAAGCCTTAAATATAAACAAAAACAAAGGATGTCCTCAGCAATGCCCACGAAGACAATGACTATATATATCAAAGGCAAAGACAGAATCTTTAAAATATAGTGCCATACTTAGCTCTGTTGATTTGACACATCTTACAGCCACCTAAGAAGGGAGTCTCAACCGAAGAATTGACCAGACAAGATTGACCTATGGGTATGTCTTGGAAAGGAGGGTCGTTTTGATTGTTAATTGATGCAAGAGGGCCTATCCCACCGTGGGTGGCGCCATTCCCTAAGCAAATCTACAAGCACATTCCTCCATTGTTCTGCTTCATGTTCCTGCCTTGGCTTCCTGTCTTGACTTCCTTCAGTGATGGACTATGGTTCCTGCCTTGGGTTCCTTCAGTGATGGACGATGACTTAGAAGTATAAGCCAAATAAACTCTTTCCCTCCCTAACTCTCTTTTGGTCCATCACAGTGTAACAGAAAGGGAACGAGGGCATGTGGTAGATGGTCAGACATGTTCCTGTTCACAAAGTCCCATTGTGATTTGCTGCTGTTGAGTATGGTCTAGTGTCTAAGAAATTCTTGAATCATCACACAGTCATCCCTTGTGTGATCTCTAAAGTTCAGTTCCCCATGCTGCAAAAGAAATAGGAGAGAGGACACAAGGTCCTGTGACACATGGCATCCCAGACTGGATTGTTTGCTGCCAGGGACATTTCTATAATAACGAGCAAAGGTAAGGAGATCTGGGAATTAGGTGGGAGTCAGAGGAAATCATATGTGCAAATTACCTTCAAGTGGTTTAGAGAAAAACATCTGTGTATCGTACCTTTAAACTTGACACTGCTTAATCATTTTAACAAGAGTAAAAGGAAGACATTATGAAACAGCAATAAGAATCTGTTGCATTTGAGGGTGGTGACATGGCTCTACACGAAAAGGTGCTTGCTGCCAAGCCTCACAACCTAGGTTCTACCTCAGGGTCCGCTTGATGGAAGGAGAAAACAGACTCCAACAAGCTGTCCTCTGTCCCCCACATTGTCAGAAGCATTCACAAGCTGCTGGATTTTTCTTTGGGCTTCCAGCTCAGAAACAACAACATGGACACTTATTATCAGTCATGAAAGCTCAGGCTATAGCTTAGGCTTATTTCTAACTAGCTCCTGTAACGTACACCAATCCATTCCTGTCCATCTACACGCTGGCTCGTGGCTTTTCCCTCGCCTACAGCATGTCTGGCTCCCTCTGTGTCTGGCTGAGGACCACCCCGCCCTTTCTTCATCCTAGAGCTCTGTCCGGAAGTCCTGCCTGTACCTCCTGCCTTGCTCTCAGCCATTTAGCTTTTTATTAAAACAATCACATCTTCACACAGTGTAAAGGACTGTTCGCAATATTCACACCCATACTCATCTGCACTAAATATAAATGCAAAAAAAAAAAAGTTAAAGATAGATGAACAGGAGGCCAAAGTTATCTAAGATGTGAAAAGTCGGTGTGTCCACATGTTTAACGGTGGGAAGTGCGTCTCCTGAGTGAAGAGACGGGGCAGCCAATACTTTACAGCTTCGCATGAGGAAAGACGACAGCAGGGTACCATACGCCATGCCATAGAATAACAGAAGGGACAGTAATCACGGCATAAAGAGGGGGCTTAGAGGACAGTCAGGGAAAATTGTAAACTGCCCATGTCTGGGGATAAACAAGAGGAGTGGCCGGTGACAGGCGTGACGTGGCGTGCATCAAGCGTGGAGTAGACAGGACGGAAGCGTCACTCACAGGAGGCAGAATCTCCTGCCCAAAGAACGTAAAAGTCCTCCTGGTGAGGACCAGACAGAAAGAGTGCCATGACCTCCTTAATCATGATTGCTATTTACACGGGCATGCAGTCCTCATGGGAGAGCCTGTCCCAGCCAGCCAGGCCCAGCAGGAGTGGGAAGCATGGGCAGTGGCTCCTGGAAAGGCATTCATTTAGTTCTCGTGACTCCATAGGCACAGGAGGCACAATCAGAATCTGACCCAGCCAAGCAAGTGACTCAGTGTCTGACGGCAGTCATCACAGACTTGTCTCTGAGCATTCAGTGACAGCTGTCCCTCAAAGCGCAGATTAACTCCAGACTTCAGAGTTGGCTCCCTGAAGACTCCTGAGCCAAGCGGAGGACCCATCCTGTCCCTGCCTCAGTATCGGAGGGAAGCTGGACTGAGACCCAGGCACTTGGTAACGTAAGAGCCGTCCTGTATTGGGTTTAACACATGAAATGCTGTCCCATAAGCCCTTGTTTTATAACTTCAATCTCCTAATTTCCTGAGAATCCTATATAGGAGTAGTGTGTTTACATCATTTCAATCCCTCCCTTACCCCCTCCGGCTCTTCCCATCCCCCCCTTCACAAACTCATGATGGCTTGTCCTTTAATTATTATTGTTACATACACACACACACACACACACACACACA